CTACAGCAAAGTAGAATAAAACAATGATAAAATGATTTCAGGTAGGAAAAATGAAATAGCTGTGATTCTCATGGGGTCTCCTGGGACCTGTCTCACCTCACCTGTCAGCACTTCGCGCCTCCCCACGCTGCCCCTCTGGTGGCAGGCTGGCACCACGGGCGCTTCAGTTAACCCTTCAAGAATGTTCCTTTCATAACAGGACAGGGCTCTCACTGTGTTGCTAGTAGTTTAATATTTGGCCACATGGCAAAAATGTGTGTGACATGGAGTTTTTTTTTTTTTAAGTGTTAATCAAGCACATAATTTAAAAGTCAGAATATTAAATAAACATCTCTACCTTCCTTCCAGCAGGCAGCGCAGAGAACCACTCTCCACGCTCTGTCTGACAGGTATGTTTTGTCATTTTTATGAACTATAATTTGCTTTATGAAACATTGAGCCCTATTTATTGTGGCATATAATTCATAATCGGATTTTGTCCCTCAAGTATCTGGGAACTGGGATGTTAAACGTTTTTGCATGCTCGGATTTGTCATGCCTGTGTGGAGTTTATTACTGCAAAAATCGCCTTGTTGTATTTCACAGAAAGTGTGGTGAGTCCCTTGTTGTGCAGTGAAACAAGAGACAAGGAACTAGAGGAAGAGGCCTGAACGGCACAGTAAATTCTGAACTTTGGAACTGGTTGAGATCTAAGCTCATTTTTCAGCAATAAGTACTTCATTTATTCTGAGATGTTTTCTTCAGACTTTTTCCATATCATTTCCCCGGGAGCTATCTGTCTTTTGATGAGATTCTCTCTTGGAATACTTTATGCACATAACCCAATTCATGGTCCTGAGTGCCTGACTTGTTGCTCTGTGCTTCGGCTGTTTCTTTCTGACTTATATTATTGAGTGAGATCTATAGACCTAATCAACTAACACATTCAAGCTGTTTTAGACAGCCGGCTCTGCTGAGTAAAGGTAGTCGAACAGGAATATAGAAAGTCACTTTCTAGAAAGCACATGCCAGATCTTTTTTGTGTTTGATTGTTTTAGGGTTTTGGAGGTTTTTTTTACTTGCTAAAGTTTTATGTGTGTGTGTATGTGCACACATGTGCATGTATGTGTGTGTGTATGTTAAAGAATTATCAGGAGGTAAAGACAAAGTCCCATTTCTCACCACAAGTGAGGTTCTTATAATGTCAGAAATAGCTGGAGATGCCCCCTGGCCAGCTGGTAGGTACCTCAGCGTTACCTAGTGACCTGTCACCACCCTCCTTTGCTTCTCAGTTCTCTTTTGTGGAATAAGCAGTAATCGACTGTGTAAAATAGTCCAGTTCAGCTCCTCCGAAATAAAACCCATCACTTAGGCTCATTATCTCTTCTTATGAGTGGAAAGCATGTCCTCTATGGTGGCAGGCTGAGCCTGAGTATTTTTATTTCAATCGAAAAGCCTTCCCTATGACAACCACACAAGCTTGTGTGCTCTAAGAGCAGTGGCCATGTGATCTTCTGGAATTCCTTCCGGGATTTTCACAAAAGCTGACAGCAAAACTGCGTCTGAGTCTCCTGTAGAAGGAGAAAGGACTCTGGATCAAAACATTTCAAATCTGACATATTAGTTCCTTTCATCTATATTTTTATTTTTACCCTTTGACTTATTAAATAAGTGATTCCTTCAACAAAATGCACTGAGAAGCAAGAGAAGAAAGCCCTCAGTTTACAATATTGTGTCATTGCCAGTGATTACATGGTTTCTTTTGGGGAGGATTGAAAATGTTGTAAAATTGGATCATGAAGATGGTTTCACAACCCTGTAAATATGCTAAAACACACTTTAAATGGGTAAACTTTATGGTGTATAAATTATATTTCAACAAAGCTAGATATGTAAATACAAAATGTCATTATGACTCTGGTAGAATGAATGAGAACCTATTTTAGGAAAGTGTGGACACTCTCTGAAGACCTGCTTGCAAAATACAATCAGAAATCAGAAACTAGGACTGATACATCCTGAAGCTTCTTCCCAAAAGATACATGACCCTGTCCTAGGTAGGAAACGTGCATGGATTTAGTGATAGGCCATGCTGTTCCCTTTGACTTTTTTCTGATGTTCTCTCCAAGCCCTGGTCAAGCCCAGTAGTTAATCAACTAGTAAGTTAGCATCGTAGCTCCTGTCGATTATGTAACTGCTGAGCAGCACACTGTGAGACAGAAGACCATGCCCTAGAAATAGAAAAATAGAGGTTCCCATTGTCATTACACTTCCTACAGATTTCTCGAGCTTCAAATGTAATAGAACATTTTCCCTTTAAATCTGACAATTTTTCTGTTCAAAATTGGGGGAACTTGGCTCATTTCAAAGTAATGGGTTGACTGTGTTGGCCATTCTGACAGCGTAAAGCTTCCTTCTTTGTGCTTTTTTTATTCTATGTTTTCCACTAATTCAGGGCCACACTAGTAATTTCCATAAGTGTGAAGCATCTATAACCATTTAGAGATACATTTTAAAACCCTTCTTGAAAATAAGGACTTAAAACACCTACTAAATTAATTAGATTCATATTGTCTAACTTCTTTTAAGGAGAAAATGCTAACTTATCAAGTGACAGAAATCATTTTCTATCATCTTACTTATTCTGTTGAATAAACCAGCATTTTCTAGAAAATAAGCAATGTGACTCCCAGACCACTGTGTGACTTACCTGTTCTTCTGTCAGAGAACCCAGCTCAGGGCAAGAATGGAACCAAGTGAAAATTCTACCCAGGTTGTGACCACCCCCCCAAGTGGAGATCTAACCCCAATATCTCTGGCTCCTTAAAGCCTGGTGTTCATCTATTAAACATTCATTCACGCAAACTATTCTGGTTTCCTAATCTACTTTTTTCAGCCTGCAAATCACCTCTTGATACAAAATCCCATAATGATTTGACAGCACTTTCATTGCTGTCCTAAAAAAAGAGCACTTAGCAGGTCCTTCCCTAGTTCTGCCATTCTGGAGTTGAATAGACTGGCCCAGGTAAATCCAAGTCATGTGCGCCTGTCTCCCTGCCACTCAGCCACAGAACCACCTCAAGTACCTGGTGAATACAAGGATGTTTGATACAGGAATTGGAGCTGTCTTGTTTCAAGATGTGCAACTTGGTGGTGAGATCAGATTTGGTTGACTCGGGTTGTAGGGGAATGTGAGTTCACAGTACAGGAAGCTTGCTGTTGTTCTCTGCCTCCCCAGAAGAAAGCCTCCCTCCTGGGCTTCGAGATCAGACCTAATGAGACTAGTTACAGGCAAAGAGGTAGCATTTCCCTTTCCTTTCTAAAGACCATAGAAAGCTCATCCCCGTGGGTGATGGAGGGGAGAGACTATCTAGATGTTTTCTGAAAGGCAACTTTATCTGTCTTTTCACTTGTCCAGTTTCCTGGTTTAAATAGGCATTCTGGCAGAAATTCAAAATCTGGCAGTTAGACTGTATGCTTTACAGTTTAGTGAGTCCTCAATGATTAATACAGAACCTTGATCAATTAAAGCTATGGTATTTCATTACCTAATTTTAAAAATTACCTGTGGTCACTCCTAAAAAAAACCTTTGACCTTGTTTGGTTTTACCTGAACAGTAGGCTTAATTTATGACTCAGCTGAAATAGCCAAAGTGTCCACAGTTGAACATGGCATCACAGTAGCAAGTCTGGGGCGTCAGCCCAACTCACTTGTGTCTCCATACTGTGATGGGAAGGGTCATTTGTTTGGAGCGGTTTTTCTTTTCTACTGACTGCAGAGTTTTTCATCTACTTTATGCCGTTGAGCGTCAGCTGGCCTACCAGAGGCCCACTGATGCCCCAAATAATGAAAAAAAATCAAGAGACCAGAGCAGGAAGAGGGGGCAAAATTCTCTATAAGATAAACAAGCCAATTACAAGAAAACCTCAATTTGCAGAGACACTCTCCTCCCTACTTACTTCTTAGAACGTGCCTCTCAAGCATCTTGTCTTCCTGTGGATTATTGGTTGGGTTGGGTAGAGAGAGGCAGGGGAGAACAGGACTAAGTGGGCCTGTGGCTCACTTGCAAAGGTGTATCTGGTGCAGATACACTGCACTGGGAGAGCCATCCGCTGCAGGTAAAGTGGAAAATATGCGAAGTGCTGGAGGATAAGGGAAGACGTGTGTGCAGCTGTGAAGTGCCTCTGGGTGATTAACTTCCCTTCCTAAGTAGTAAACTGTAGATAACTGTGATCAAAAGAAGGGTTCGTATGATTTATCAAGCCATGCAACTGCATGTTTGCAGAGAAGCTGGAGGTCAGTACTGAAATCTAGGGCAAGGCAAGCGTGAGGACATTTCGAGGACTCAGAAGTTAATCATCTCCTTGGATCGCTTCCATCTGTCTCGGAGCGACAGAGCTGCAGCAGAGAGAGCAGGGATGCTTTATAGCAGCCAATCAGGAATTCATATTTGCTGTGAAACCTCTAGCACCATTTGCAGTAACTTCAGTTTTATAAAAATGGAGCCTAATTTCATAAGAATAAATCACATTCAACTAGAAATATGAGGAGCTGGGGAAAAAAATTGTGCTTGACTTAAAAGGAAAAAAAAAAGGAATGAACAAGAAAGCCAACATGAAAACAGTTGTAGCGACGGCACTTGGAAGGCACAGATGGCCGTGTGGTTAAATTGTGCATATAATAATCTTCTGAAATGTCAGCCCGTGACTCCAGAAATGGCTACATTTTTATAGCCTTGAAGATGCATCACTAGACTGTACGCTGTCAGCCCATCCAGCAATCTCCGGTCTAGGATCCATTTACGTTAAAATCCAAACAACTGCCACTGATTTGTTAATTTATGCTACCAGTGTTTATTGAGCACACCCTGTGGGTTCAGCTGGGCGCTGCGTGGGTGCCGGGGTGCAGGGGTGCAGGGGTGCAGGGGCAGAAGCAGCAGTCTACCCATGCTCAGGGCTTCCCCGCCCAGAGAGGCGCTGGAGGATTTGCTGCTTTCAGTTTGAGAAAGTGCTAAATTTCCAACTTGGAAGATGCCCAGGAGGCACACTGGAGGATTCGCGTCAGCCCTGCAGACCCACAGAGGTCTCTGGTCTCTCCAAAGCATGAGGCTCTTTATAACGGAATTCTTTATACCGTGTAAATAAAAACCTTCTTAAGAGCTTTAGAGTTTAGAGACACTTACATTGTCTTATTTTATGATCCTCACAACCACATTGTGAGATAGGAAGGACCCATTTTACAGACAAGAAAACTGAGCCTGAGAAGGTGATGTGACTCACCCAAGGTCATAAAGTAGCAAGTGGCAGAGCTTGGGACTAGACTCCGGGTCCTCTGACAAGCAATGCCAGTGATTCTCTCATCCTCCATCACCGGGTAGGGAAGCAGAAGGCAGGGTCAGAGACAGGGGGC